ACCGAAAATTCCCTTTTCTCGTTAATTAATACATAACTAATTATCTGGAAATAAATTGTGCGTAATTAAAAACGAAATAAGTTACGTTCGCAATTAATAATATACATATAAAAATAAATATGATTTAATTTCTCACCGAAACAAGAGAACAGCTTTCGGTATATTTTATATCTAATTGTAAGTCCATTTTATTGATTTATACAAAAGTTGTTTTATTGAAAAATAATTCTGTTCAAATATAATGTAGAAGAATTTTTATCATGTATTTTCTCGCTTTTAAAATTGTAATGGTAAGTAAATAGGAATTTTAAATTGTAAATTTTATCTGAGTTATCCAAATGCGGAATTATATTGAGTACTGGATTGTTATCTTTGTTATCGCATACGATATATGCTTAAATGTGCGAAAAAACTATCGCATCCTTAATATTTAAGTATTAAAACTAGGAATGAATTCAAGAATGTATCAATACTTGCATCTCGATTAAAACATACGCACATATATTGTATGATGATCGTCTACTATCGATTTGATACCATCAGTGTGCGTCATAGTTAAGAATCGAAATTAACAAAATTCGCGTTACGGTCATGCCTTATGATTGTATTTTTCTATTAATATACTCAATTTTATATCGAACGGAAGCATATCAGAAGTACTTTTTCCAGAACGCTCTGTCGCGAATGCGGAGGGTAATATCCTTGAAATCGCCATGGCGACCAAGGTCGGATCCGCTTTTCCTCTCGAGGGTTAGGAAGGAGGAGAAAGTAAAATGGCCGTATACCTGCGGCATGCTGCGTGCCGTCTCTGAGCGTTACATACGCGCACGAATGGATCATGCCACCCTGCGTATAGACGAGCATGCGTGATTCCACAAATATTTGCCCAAAATATATGTACAACGGGTCTGTTGTATATTTTGTCTCTCGTGTTTCGACATGGCTTGATCAAATTTCGTTTGTATCAAAATGCCTTTGTCTGGCTCGCGTATCGATTTGTGTGTTTATTCGAGAATTTTTATTTCACTTTTATTGAACGATATTTGAAGAGCACCATACCGACGATTTATCGTGAGCTTCATTTTTTCCACGTAAAATTCAATCCTTCTAAATTGTAAAGGTTACGATAGTTAGAGGATGTTAGAGGGAGTTCTAGGAATACTTTTACGTGATTAGAGAAAAAAAAAGGATTAAACATCGTTCTTCGCTATATTTTCTTGTAATTTCTTGATACTTGTGTACAAAAAGACAGAAAGAGAGAGAGAGAGAGAGAGAGAGAGAGAGAGAGAGAGAGAGAGAGAAAGAATCAAGTTTTATTCAAAAAAAGAAAAACAACATTTTGTCTCATAGATCCCTGATATGAAAAAACATATCTTCTTGCACCAACAAAAAATTTTTGTTATATAACTCTAATTAAAATAAGTACTTCTTACAGCTTCAACAAAATCCAAATTCTGAAGTCTGAATCCAAATTCATAAGTAAAAATGTCCTATCAAATTTTTTAGAAAAATGAAATAAAAACCTTTCAAAAACGCACTTTTCAGAATTTCAATTCTTTTTTATTTGTAACGAAATCTACAATTTTCGAGATATTCAATTAATTTTTTTAACGTGATAGAACATTTTCTCTCATGTATTTGCATTCAGTGCGTCAAAAAACTATAAGAACCACTTATTCTAATTAAAATTACTTGACTAAATTTTTTTGTCGATTAATGCAATTAAAATTGCAAAATAGTAGTAAGAGTTTTCATATTCACAGCTGAGAGTTAACATAAATCCTCGACAATGTTATATTGTCAAAGCTTCCTGCATTTTTAATGATTTTAGATTTTAACATTTGTCTAAATCTGTAACATTTGTAAGGTTTACAGAAAGCCTACATCGACGTATTTTTTTATAAGAATAGTCGGAGTCCGCCGCCTTCGTTTTCATCGGTGGGCTGAATGACGTCGCCTGCCACTTTCGCTCTCGTTCGCGTTTCAATGCCGTACCATTGAAACGTTTCACGACTACATGAGTACCGGAAAATCGCGAACAACGTGACGTCAGATACGCAAAGACGAAAGCGGCTAATGTCCGTTTCCACCAATGTAGATTAATTTTAATCTTAGTTTAGCTTGCTGTTTACTTTTCCTCTCTCTTTCTCTAATTATAAAAATTAGAAGAAGATAAAAAGTAAATTGGATTGAGATTAAAGTTAAGTTTACATTGGTGGAATTGGGTATAAGTACAGCAGGGTGATAAGTCTCATAAAATTCAACATGATAAAGTGGATGGCAATCAACGACAAGTAAACGAAAAGACGATATAAAGGTTATCACAAATTCCTTATCATAACTTTTTCTCATCATAACTTTTCCAAATAAAATTTCTTGATTTTCTCTGACTTTCAATAATATTTTGAAGTTTTTGTATTTTCACCTTAATTTGGAAACCGTCAAATATTTTATTGAGAGTAATTTAACATAATAATGTTAATTACTATTAATATTGCTGACATTACTTACATTTAATTGTTAAGTTGATAATATTCCAAAACTACACAGATATGATATATTAAATTTTATTAAAATCAAGAATTCCTATTTTCTAGAAAATTTTACAAGATTCTTACTTTCGCTTGATTTCTCTGATCATCTTTAATTTCGCTGATTTTCTGATTTATGAAAACTCTGATATAAGTGAGGCCGAAAATTAAGTCTTACCTCTCGTATGAGTGCTTCTCCACGAAGTAATCGTACTGTGTGGCGAGCATGCTTTTTGAGATGTCTATGCTCGTGTATCTCTCCAAGATTAACGCCCTCGACGACTGGACATTGACACAGTATAGTTGATCTCTCGTGTCAGAAGCAGAAGGGTAGAATCTTTGCATGTCTACAACTACGCCGGAAAGAGAACTGCGAACTCTCGTGGAACTCTACTAGCTAGAGGATAAGGGATCGTCTGTTGTAATGCTTGAGCTCAACTACTTAACAGCGAGAATAATCACGTTCGTTGAGCCTAGAGTCGTGATAAATTTTTTATTGATATGTGCGCTGTTTTTGTCATCTTCAATAAATCAATATGAGTAAGATAATGTAAGTTAGAATAAGATAGTATTCATAAAAAAAGATATTACATATCCCTTCTTTTAATTCTTATTTTGATGACAAAATAATTACTGGTGATTTAGTTTCGATCGACAAGAACGATCAAATCAAGAGAAAATCAAAATGATCTTATTTTGACGTCATCAAAATCAAAGTGATGATTTTTTTATTATTAAAGTTAAAAATCAAAATAAAGTTACTTTGTTGATTTTTAATTATGTTCTTTAAGCTATTATACAAAGTTGAGTAATAAGATCTCTAATTAAATTTAAATGCTAGTATTGATCCTTCGTCACACGTTTATGATTTTTTAATAATACAATTTTTATGCTTTCGTGGGAAAATATTTTTATAACAACAATTAAACGATTACAAAATTTATTAAGTAATAATTGATATCAATTGTTTTTTTTTGTTATAGACTATCTCTGATTAAAGTTTAACGAGTTGAAGATGTCCGAGTAGAACAAGTGAGAAGCAGACTTTCAAAATGCATTTTATAAAAATTTATAATTTTTAGAAAACGAGAAAGAAAACTGCAAGAAAACTACGCGCAGAAAATAACTTACCAATCAGTAAGATGTGAAATGTTCGACAAAATTGCTAAACAGTTGCTAAAAATGTTAAACAAATGTATTTTGTTTGTCTCTAGTTAAAGGACATAATGCACTTCGAATGTCAAGATTTTTTTCAGCACATAAATTGATGGTGTAAAAATGCTTTCAGAATATAGAAATAGAATAGAATATATAGAATAGCTTAAAATATGAGTTTCTCAACACTGAACATTATTGCCCCCATTCATAGTCAGTTCTTTAAATTTATCTTTAGATGCTCAGTAGTCAATGAAATAATTCGGAGAGTATCTGAAGATAAATTTAAGGAAGCCTTAAATATAGGGCCTGAGTATGAATACGGGCATATGTCATTTTAACTAAAAAAATGAAATTTTGGGCAAAATGTTTTGGAAGTCTACTCCTCAAGTCACGATAACGTCAAAATGACATTAAAATGAATCGGATAATTGAAAAATGACTTTTAATAATTATTTTGGAGACATTTTGATATCATTTTGATATCATAATGACTTGTTGTTCTGCTTAGGGAACAAGCCGAACAATAAGATTATGATAACATAAGATTATGATTGAGACCAAAATTAGCTTTTTAATGGGCTATCTAATCTCATGGTCGATAATTTTTCTTACATTTGACTGTAATTGGTCAATTTCTTACGATTTAAGATTAAACTTAGGTAACAATTTAGAAAGCCCATTTAATATTTTAAAGAAATGTGATGTCGGGTCTACAATGAATCGGAAATCTTAAATCTTAATCAGTTTTAACCTATTATAAATAGGTGATTTTTCGCACCTAGTAATTATTAATTGTATACCGAGTCGTTAGCTCGATTAAGAAGAAGGAATAAAGTCGAATTTGGTCAGTCTTAAGAAAATCGGTAGTCTTAATCGTACAAATTGGCTGTTGATCAACTTCACTGATTCACCGATAAGACTTAGGACTACCGACTACCGACTCATTATAGACCCGGTATGAAACGTTATAAAGGATAAAGGATGTGCACTTAAGAATTGCATTATTAATTACCTATAGAGGATCCACGAAATGACAATCAGCACACGAATTTTTATCAAACCGGAAAGTGTTCGTTACAGTTGTAAGTAGCCACGTTGCACGCAAAAGTCCACAGAACTTATTTCTGTCGTTCCGGCGTGATCTTCCTATGATCAAAAAAGCGCGAACTTCGAAAAAAAAAAAGTAACAGGATGCAAGTCAAAAGGTTCAAGAATAATCGTTTTTACGCGATCGCGTATATTCCACGAGTTTCCCGCGCCCCATCCTCGAGCCGTTGAGCGATATACCCGCTCGCGTATTTTTGGCACAAGGATCTCAGGTGGTTCGCCCGGGGAAGATACGTTCCAAAGAGAGCCCCGGAACTGACTCGACGTGTCAACGAGCGTGGGCACGTCGTACGTCACAGGAACAGCCGGTGCGGCGGTGAAGCGGCGTGAAGAATCTGCACGTACCACGCGGACCGGGAGATGCCGACGAGGATACCGATTCGAGAGCAAGCCGCTTTCTTTGAAGGAAGCCGCGTGCCACCCTCCGACGAGCCGGGGATCACGAGCCGAGCCGGCGCGCGAGGAACAGAACTGTCCGCCCTTTACTCCGGCTCGCTCTACCTCTGAATCATCCACGTCGCCCACGCATCGCGATGCCGGGGGCTCTGCGTAGGTGAGTTCTCGCAAACCCCTTCCCCGGGCAGCGCCATGCGGTTTCCCCGCTGTACGCCTGCGCCCAGAAACCATGAATGGAAGCGCCCGCTCAATGCTGGACGGTATTTTATTTGCTCGCTCACGGGAGCACTGCGGCATCCTACCCGCTCCGACCACGACGACGACGACGACGACGACGACGACGACGACGATGACCTTCAGCCGCCAGCCAGGGTCGATCGGGCAAAGTCAGGTCTCATCCCGAGGAACAGGTGTTGCGTTGGAGCTGCGCAGAAGCGCGACGCGGTCAATCCTCTCACGCCGCGAATCACGTCATGGATCGTTAAACATCAATGAATCTTTAATTGGCACGAATCTTTAATGACCTCGCCGTGATAAAATAGACATGATTAATTTATGTACGGTATACAGGAGGCAGAAGGGCAAGCCAACAATAAAATCAGTATTACGTCACCAGCTGTAAAAGCCCTACACTGTTGGAGATATCAAAGAAGTAATTTTAATCCAATACGCGTTGAGTTAAATGACATTTTATTATTTTTACTTTCATGTCAAAATATAAATCACTCAACTCGTTTCTGTAGTTACTTAAACAATATTAACGTACGTGCATTTAGTAAATAATCAACTAAATGAGTAAAATTTAATAGAATTTATTGAATGAAATTGTTTTAGTTAAATTATCGACATATTGAGTAATGGCGACCTACATAAATAATTAAAAACAATTCAATTTGGTTGTATTCTAACATTTGTGAATTTAACAGTATAACATTTGAAAATGATCCGAATGAAAAGAATGTTAAAAAAATTATTAATAATTTAATAATGATTAAAAGTATTAAATTTTTGATATATAAAATTTTCCGTCCATCTGTATCTAAAAAAAAAAAATTCTTTATACTATTTCTACAAATAAGTTTTGGAAACTTTTTGACTGATATGTCATCAAATATTTAGGAATCTTATTCTAAAGATTAGGGTCATACAACTTTCTCTCACGGGAACGTGAAAAGCGAAAATGTTTGCCATAAAAAGTAATGGAGAAGTTTTTCATGTTTCCGCCCTAGGGCGAATGTTACGTAATTGTCCTGATTTAATATGGAAAAAATTCATATTTGATAAAGTATCGCAATGTATCGAGACGTCCAAATCATAATCTACGTTTTGAACTAATCTTCTACGATTTATTTGTCTCTCCTCTCTGTTCCATTTTTTAAATATGAATAAAAATTCTAGGAGAGAGGGAATCGCACGTATCACTCTTCGTTGTCCAAATCACCCTACATTCGCGCGACGCCGGGGAAACGTTGAACGGGGGATGCTAAGAATTAGCGGACGCAACTTTATGAATGGGCTGCTTGGGCGTGAGGGAACGAGCGAGGTGGGGACAGTCATGCTGCTTTAACGATCGGGCGCATCCCCACTCCTGCCTCATTCCGTCTCCTTTTCTCCGGCTCGTTAACAAATCTTCTTTCTCGATTCCATCCTCTCGCCATCCCCCTTCTGTACACAATCCCATTCTCTTCCTCCCTCACCGGCTACCACCGGCTACGCGCACACGTGCGACTGTGTCGGTTACGTGCTGATCGTTCATAGATGATGGTGCATCCGAGTGCGCAACTCACGTGTGTATAAATCTCTACGAGGACGAGTTGCGTACGATACCCTTTGCATAACACCAACAAGAGAGAATGAACAATGGCAATGGATTTTGCGCGGCTAGTCATAGCGAACCCTTCAAATAACAATTGAAATTGGACGCTTACATGGCCTAGCTGGTACACTTGTAGTAGAATGTATCAAATTTCGTTTTGATATTGAAGAAGTTTGAAACCGAAGCTGTATTGCATAGGGCACGAGAGGGAGAGAAAATGACATTAGGGCATTTCATATTTCCACTTCCCATATTTTACTCTTGTTAATGATGAATAACAAGGATAAATGATAGCTGTGTAACATTCATGGAAATCTGAACACGAATATATTACGCGAAAATTAAATTTCGACACAAATCTCAATTACAGCTGCGAGATAAGCGTCGTGAGAAATTTTTTGTAGATTTTTAATAACTGAAATAACTATTCGATTTAATTTTAATGAATAAGTTACTTCAACAAGATCAATTATTTACCGGAAAATAAATGTCCCACTTGAACTTCTCCCGTAACAACTAAATTACCTGTAGTGTGCATAGTATCCAGTACGTATATACATGTTCAATATCTTAACGTAGTTTACTTCAAACAACGTGAAAGATTAATCGCAAGCTTCCAAAGCAAGCGATTCTGGTATCGAAGATACTATATAATATAGAGATACTATAATATTATAGGAACACTAGTATTGTTAAATTTAATCGAATTCTGCTTCAATTGCTAGGATACGGTAATTTGGAAATACCCGAGTTCCCTCACCATTGATCGTTACGAGAGCAGGGAGCATCGTAGTTCGAAGGGATGAAAATCGTCAGGTGTGGGTGGTTGGAACATCGATGAACGAATATCCCCACTACAAACTATCCGGTGAGAGTAGCGTGGGAGTTTCCAAGGTCATCGCAAGAGCAAAACGTAGTACGACGCCTCCGCCGGGACGCCCGCGCACGAAGCGTGGGCGTGAATTGTACATATATGTATAAGCTATGCACACAAGATTTCAAATCATTGATGGCACTTTAATATGCGTTTTACTGTTGTATGTTCTTAATTATGTTATTAATTGAAGCATAGCTGGAATAAAGATATTTGTCGTGTAATTTCGATATCAATTTTGTAAAGAGAAAAAGTGATCGTCGACTATCTCGATTCAAGACACGTTCATTAAAAAATATAAAGCATACCTTTTTAAATTCTAATCATAAATTTAATCTTCACTTTCAGTATTGAAACAAATTTCGATAACACAAAAGAGAATTAAATTCAGAAGTCATATTGAATAGAAATATTTCACTTGCAAGAGAAAGCATAATATAAATTTTAAATATATATACTGTTTGTGTGCTATTTTATTAAAGGCAAAAATAGAAATTCAGAGAAAAGATAAAAAATATTGATATACCTGCCAATAATTTTTTATGCTTAGGTTTTATGGTTAGGTTAGCGTTTACAAAATATTTTTCATTATTATTAACAAGTCTCAAAAAATAAAAAGTTTGATATAAAAAAGTACCTTAACATATGATTTCTTACAAAATTTATAGTAATAATGGATGATTAGTTATATTTGTATAGTATTGCTATTCTAAAGAACGTAACACAAAGGAAATATTTTTAACAAACACGAATGGTATTTTTGCCTGTTACAATCACAACTCCATCATCCTGCAGCTCTTTCAGAGCATCTTCAAACATCTCGCGCGTCACCAACTAAAAAAGGTAAAGTAAAATTAAAGAAACATTTTCTGCAGAATGTATGAAAAAATAAAATAATAATCAAATAATAAATTAAAAAATAAAATAACAAATAACAAATAATAACGAATAAATAAATGAATTTACCGTGCTAGACGATTCTTTCAATTCCGTGAAGATCTTCTGGTAGTTTAATGTCGGTACTTTATCCTTACTCTTGATGAGCTTCTTCAACGCCTCGACCAGTTCCTGCCTTCGTTTTCTCGCTGCCAATGACATACCAGTCGTCAAGATACTAATATCGATTTTGCCGCTCAGTGGATCGATAGCAGATTGTTTTAATGCCTCACGATGTAATCTGACAATTATGAATAATGTTAAATTTAATTTTCTAATATTTATTTTTTTTATTTTTCTAATATTTATTGTTAACCACATTTTATCCACTCTCACCTCCAAGCTTCCTCGACATCCACAATCTCCACTACATTGCTGAATCGCATTTTAGCGTGTGCTTCGGCGAGTCTTATTAATGATTCTAATTGTCTCGGATAAGCCGTAATTTGTCCGTGGCCGCTTCCTACTCTGCGCATATCGACGTAAGCTTGAATCAATCTCTGTTGACTCTCCTCGTTAAGAGAAGGTTGCACATGTTCCTTGGCATAAGCTATGTAATCACGAAGGATACTCATATCCACAATATCGTCTTCTTCTTCCAACTCAGATTTATAATACAACGATACCAAATGTCTGGCAAGTTTCCTGTCAAATACTTCGTCCTGGGGATCCAACATGAGGAAAATTAAGTCGAAACGTGACATCAATGTGTGTGGCAACATGACGTTCTCTATTACCTAAAAACAAATACGATATTTCATAAGATTGCTCTCTCATTGATTTAAGATATCAGATACATTATAATTTGATGGATATATTTACTGTTTTGTTTTTATTCCACTGTGACTCGCAAGGATTAGCCGCTGCTAAAATACTGGTTCTCGCATTCAATTGACAAATGATACCCGCTTTTGCAATACTCAGTGTTTGTTGTTCCATAACTTCGTGCAGTACTGAACGCGTGCTATCGTTCATTTTATCGAATTCGTCGATGCAACAGATACCGTTATCTGCAAGCACCAGAGCGCCAGTTTGTAATACCAATTGACGACTTTCCGGATCTTTCGTTACAAAGGCGGTTAAGCCCACAGCACTGGAACCTGAGAAAAAAATGTAAGATACAAACGACATGAGAAACGGACAAATATAAAATACAAATAAAAGCTAAAATCAGATTCCAATTATTATTATCAAGAATTATTTACCCTTTCCACTGCTATACTGTGAGCGCGGTACCAGATTGAAGACAAACTGTAGCAGTTGTGATTTACTTGTACCCGGATCTCCACATAGAAGTATATTAATTTCGGACCGGAAATGTTTTTTAGTTCGTTCGTTCTGCTCTTTCTTCGTACCGCCTAACAATTGTAACAATATACCCTTTTTGACATCCTCGTTCTCGTAGATGCTGGGAGCAATGTGTCGCGCCAATCGTTCATATATGTCTTCCTTTTGTGACAATAATTTCAATAACTCCACTCTTTCTGGTGGAAACGCATGACGCTTGCCGTCCTCTTGCTCGTACAATCTACATATGCAATAAATCATAACAAAGATTGATAAGAATATAATATATTACTTAATATTAGAATGTGTGTGTGTGTATGTGTGCTTAAATCATGATAAAACAAATTCACGAAAATGTAAAATAAAATCAAAATTAGAAATGCTTACCGCTTTGAATCTTGTTTTCTAAAGTGGACCACGTCAACGTGTGTCCTGTAGATGGCCCGGACGTTAGTTTGCCGAGGATTAACACGTATAGGCAACGCACGATATATACCAGTGACAGAAACTCTATCACCTGGTGATACAGCATCAACTAGATTATGATGTGCAAAAAGCACTACTGTATGAGGAGTTTGACCAGCTGGCATATCGTCTGGTGACTCTTGCAACTTAATCATTTGTTTGTCGGTGAAATGACTACGGTTGTGTACCAGACTGAAGCAGAAATTATTGTTGCAATGAGTGCACACTGTGGGCTCGGCTATGTGACCTCTGTCGATGATCACAGTCGTTGTGAAGGAACATACGATGCATTTAAAGAATGCCTCTCGCATTTCTGGCAAGATATTTGATGTTCTAATGACCATTCCAGTAATCGTGATCAACCGATCTATGTCCTCTGGATTCAGGAGGCGCATACTTGTAGTCCTTGTAACATTATAAGGACGTACTTGAATTGAATGTTCCAATGCTGCCCCAGGGAATTTCTCAAAAAATATTTCGTTTGCAGTTAAATCAAATGCTGGTATAACTTCCTGAGGATACAATACCAATTGATTATAAAGCTGTGCATCAAAAGCCTCAAGATGAGCACAGTTTATATTTAAATAAGGCTCTTCTAATATATGTATCTCCTCAAGTTTCTGTAAGTAGAGTGGTTCTGTTAAATTCATGTTTTCAGGTAATTCATCATTTTCTGCTTCCGGATCAATAAAATATGTAACAAATCGCCTAAATTGCTGTTTGATACGATCCACTACGACACTTGTACCCCAGATTATCAATTGCGGGCCGTTTTCACCCTCAGACGTTTTTTCTCTATCTTCATCATTCTCTGGTATCTGCGAATAAAATTTAACCATTAATAATTTAATAATTTCATCTACTTTAATACTGACATATACATTTTAACTTACAGTTTCATTCAAGTTAACTTGCCGCACACGTCTGTCAGACTGAACATCTGGTCTCTGTCGAATCGGCGTACCTCTAATACCACTACGAGGAGTACGAATTGATGCCAAAGAGCTAGGGGTTCCATAATTTAGTGGAGACGACAGTTCTATCTCACTCATACCAGCAGCGAGTGGACTTGTCTCTGGCTGTCGATTCGGAGAAGACAATGGCATAGACGACAAGCCTTCCGACGATGGCGCAATGGTTTCCTGCGTTTGACGGTTGCCCCATCGTAATGGAGTGTCTACCGGTTGGTTACCTGGTCTTCTCTGAGGTGTACCTACATGTGACAAATGTAACAGTTTAAATACAATGTGTCATTTTTAAAAATAAAAATAATTAAGGGATATTCTTCAAACCTTGTCTGGCGGAACCGGCGACTCTGGGTGTTCCGGCGGCCGAAGGAGTCCTGGAGGTTGGAGTCCGAGGATGCCGCCTAGGAGTATGACTCGGTGTGCGGTTCGGTGTACGGTTCGGCGTGCCATTCAGCGAACGATTGTCATCCTGAGGGACAGGAGTCCTCGGCGGTCTAATAGGACTCGACATTGTTGAGGGAGATTAAGATAATCTTATACTTTGCTTCTTAGGCGCTCTTCACTCGGCCAGAAATCAATCTATGTTCAGGCAGGTGCGAGTAACCTCCATAATTGACTCAATTTCCCGCGTATTCCCGCGAATTCAAGCTTGCCGAGAGGGCGTTACCGAATATAAGTTCGGTGGCGCCCTCTCGTTGGCTTTAGATAAGAACATAAGATCTGTTCTTCTTGGGAAAAGAACAGACCAGGAACAGACTTATTGTAAATAAGTCATATACATATACAATCCGAATCAATAAAATTTGATAGTTTATATATAAAGTTATACATGAGATTTTTACAAACAGAAAATTTAATAATCATATTAGCAAATTTATACACAAAAAATCAAATATTGGATTAAATAAGATTATAAAATGCATTATTTTTTCCATATTTTTTTATTGATATATCAATTATTATTAATGTCAAATTAAAGACGATTATTACATAAGGTTCTCACATTTGCATATAATTATTGACGCCCAATAATTAATTTATTCGATCCTCATTTCTTTCTAATTCTCGAATTAGAAAAAGACGAAGGAAGTTATGTAATAATACGAACAATTGTTAACATTGTAAAAATATACATATTTTTATTTAATTTCATTTAATTTAATTTATATATATGATATATTAAAGGATGTTTATTTTGTATATAATAAAATAAAACACAATATATTTAAAATTTGAAAGTTAAAGAAATCTCTTTATTGGTCTTGAGGACTTATTTCGTTTATTTTATTTCCGGATTGTTCTTTTATATATGAGAATATAGTAATTATTGTCGCCTTTGTATACTCTGATAATTCATCTGATGTTAACGCAATACGTCTGTATGTGAGAACTAAAGAATAATAAAAATAAAAGTATTAATTCATCATTCAGCTAAGTTTGCCTAAAATCTTTATTTCTTTTCTACACATATATACATATTTATATCGAAAATTATGGAGAAATAATTAACATTTTTTAGACTAATCTATTAAATTATAGAAATTACAAAAATTGTATAAAATATATGTAGACAGTCTACGAATTAATTCCAACACCTAATATATATAAACATATATAATAAGTGATTTTAAATGTAATAAGCGTGAATTCACTTTTTCTTTCGCAGGATCAATGGAATTTTTTTCTCTTTCATAGTTTTTAATAATTAATACATATTTAATTGAAATAAAGATATAATAAAAAATTTAGGTCAGAAGGAGGCACTCGAAAGAAAAGTCATTAGTTAAATGTGATCAAATTTAATTACAAGATATTCAATTTCGATGTGTTGCTTTCTCATGAGCAGGAGCGGCGCTATTATTTGGCGCCCCCTGCAATATTTAAATAAGCCCTCTACATATACATAAATATGTACATGTGTGTGTGTGTGTGTGTGTGTGTGTGTGTGTGTGTGTGTGTATGTACATATTTTATGAAATATATAAAAATTTCATAAAAAATGTATTAATTCAGTCTTACGTATATTAGTATGTGTTTAATATTTTTATGCATAAAAGGATCGCAACTATTTGATCCGCAGTCCAATAATAAATAATAACGACTATTATGTATTTAATTAATTGAAAAAATATATCTCAATTTTATCAAGTACTTTATTTTTACAAGTAATATACGCGTTAGATGCTCCTAAAAAAATAGTATCACCCTGCCGTACTTCGCTTATTATGTTTCATTGATTCTTCGTTCCGCGAGAATCCGTCATTTAAAAATCGACGAACAATGCACGCCTTGCATTCTCTTGAGAATAACAACGAGATCGCTGAGATCAAAACAAAACAAATATTTATTATTTAAAAAAATTAATTATTTAAAAAAAAGCATTGTAAAAAGGGCACTGCGGGCCCTTCTTACAATGTGCCCGAATAATATTTGAAAGTAATTTTAAATCTTATTGTCATTGCAGATTGACAATCTTATTAAATTGAAACACAATAAAACTAGTAGAAAAAAAGTTAATAAACTCTAAAAAATTTATTACAAGAATTAGCGAAGAATTTAAAAAATTGAATGCGTAGAGAGACGCAGGCGTATAATTGCATACATGGAAACTCAGATATACGTATACTAGGCAGAGAAGGAATGAATCTCGCGATCAGCTGATCGACACAATACGTTGACCAGTGTTGACTCATTGACTATTGAGAAAGAGGCGTGTCGTCAAGCGGAGTGGTGAACGATGTAGTTGTAGAATGTCAGCTGTACGTAAATATAAGAGATTGGCCAGTCAGGAGCTCATGCTCTCGGAGCAGACTGGAGCGGACAGACTGGATCAAGTGGGAAGATGTTTTGTAGTGGTTGAATCTCTACCTACGATTAGGAATATTAAAGATCGTCGAATGCCAGGTGTGATCTCTCAAACGACGGTCGTGCCAGACTCCTACCTGGCTGCGCCAGAGATGCTTCGACCACGGCTTTTCAAAATTATGCACGATTGCTTGTAAATTCTATTGCTCGCTTACGAACAGGGTATTCTCAAATCTCGTGCATCTTTCGTAAGTATTGCTTCCTACAAAAAAATATGTGTTCAGTGCAAGAAGCTTTATTTACGTCTAGATTTGCGAGCAGGAAAATTTGTAAAACGTGCGCAATATGCATGCATAACGTTTAAACATTTACGTATTCATTCATTTATTTATACGATAATATAACGCGTTGATTTGCACAATGAAACAATTATTTATATTGCACGTTATGCGTATTTTTTTGCTTTATGTATACTTCAGTTTTATAATTCGTGTTTCGTTGTTCATCAGGGAGAAACCATGTCATACTCTATTAATAGAAGACCTTTATTGGGAGGTGCGACTGATAGCGAATTTGAGGACGATTTGGAAACTGAAGTGGATGATCCTAGCATCACAATTCCTGACGAGAAACCATTTTTTAAACCATATGAGCCACATGACAAGTACATCCCACTATTTGAATTTAATTTGATAATTATTTATTAATATATAAAATCCGTTCACAATCTACACCTGTAAATTTTTTGCATATTTTAGATATAATCTTGCGTACATTGTGTTTTACTTACTTGGTATAAATACATTAATACCATGGAGTTTTTTTATCACTGCTGACGACGTAAGTGACGTTTCTTTGTCTTTTTTCTCTTTACTCAGAATACAGTTGTCTATATAACATTTTTTTTCAGTACTGGATGTATAAATTTAGAGAAATTCATAATAATTCGACAAATCTTACTCATACGTATGCAGAATTGCTCGAACAGAAGACGGATCTTCAAGCTAGTTTTACTTCTTATTTAAGTGTAGCCAGTGCATTACCAAATACTCTGTTTTTAATACTGAATGCATTTATTAGCAAGAAGTGAGTAAAAAATCATTGCTAGAAAATAATATATAAGTATATGTTTTAAAAAATATGCGCTACACATTTAAAATTACTACATATTCTTCATTTTATTTATACGACTACATTTATCTTTAAGATCCGAATAATTGAGAGTTCTATACAAGAGAATACTTGATGTATTTTATGCAGTATATACCTTATTTCAATTCTTTTATTAGGTGTTGGAATTAATTCGTAGCGTTTTTTAATGAAAGAATGTTATTTATTTCACATGAGCATTAAAAAATACATTAATGAAAGTACTTCCCATCACTTGTAAAACGCTACGAATTAATTCCAACACCTAATATAATACATAGATCAGGAAAATAATTAATAACTTTACATTATGTATTATAGAAAAGTAGAAGCGATATTTAAAGTTTCTAAATTTCCAGAGTCTCTCTAACTGTAAGAATGGTGGGTTCTCAATGTGCAATATTGTTGCTCTTCGTCCTGACGACTGCATTTGTGGAAATGAATACTGATAAATGTAACTCAAGTTATTTTATCATTACATTAATTTATCATATTAATTAGAAATACTTCTATTACTTTAGAAATAAAATAAACCATTATTTTCAGGGCAAAATGCATTTCTAATAATTACTTTGACGACAGTTGCGCTTGTAAATGGTGCGTATGTTAAATAATTAAATGTATGATGATGTGCCAGTAATTAAGCTTGTGATAAGATAATAATATAAACTTGTAGCTGCAAGTGCAATTTTTGGAGGAAGTTTAATGGGTATAGTGGGCAAATTTTCGCCAAAATACATAACCGCCATGTCCGGTGGGCAAGCTCTTGGCGGAATATTCACGGCTCTAGCGGAAGTGTGTTCCTTATGGATAGGTGCCAGTCCAGTACTTTCTGGCTTAGTATACTTCATTATCGGCGACACCATGCTACTATTATCGTTAATCGCATACATCCTTTTAGAAAAAGCGGTGAGTCAATTTCGTTCAAACATATCTTGGAGTATTAATGTATTATGTTACTGCGTTTTCTTTAATCCGATTAGTGACTATATCACACAAAACAATGATATCAAAGCTTATTGTTTTATTCATTAAAACGATGATGCATGTAGCACAAGTGTTTTATAAATATATGATAAGCTTCTTATGATAACAAACATATATGTATCACATTATTGCACAATCTGTTGAAAGAGAATGGAGTAAATAAATAGTCAAAATAAGTTATAGGATTCTTTTTTTTTTAATACAATAGCATTCCTAACTAAAGTTTTTTCACAAACAATTTTGTTAATTAGATTTACAGAAGAATTTAATCTAAGAATCGTTACTCTACAACTTTTTTTCTTACAGCCATTCTTCAAGCATCATATGATAGAAAAAGTACCTGAATTAGATTCTGATTATTCCATAAATGGAGAAGTTAGCTTCTCGACAAGTTCGAGCGTGTCTTACACACGGATTATAAAGAGAATCTGGCATTATGGCGTTAGCATATTTTTAATATTCTTCATATCACTAGCTGTATATCCAGCGGTCACTGTGCTAGTAGAGAGCGAATACAAAGGCAAAGGCCATGCATGGAACGGTAATCTTAAATTTATGTACCACAATGCTTTAAAGATTTCGAACAAATTGTATGGGTATAATTTGAAATGATTTTTCAGACATATATTTTGTACCTGTGGTTACGTACCTTATCTTCAGTACAGGCGATTATGCAGGAAGAATATTATGTGGTATTCTTCAATGGGTGAGAATTTGCGTTTTAAGAAAGAATTTACCATCTGTAAATACTCATTTGTACGATGTTTATCAAGTTTTTATCATTGCAGCCAAAAGGCAAGCCATGGCTCGTAATATTTTTGAGTGTCGCTAGAGGTATTTTTATACCTGCACTTATGTTTTGCAATGCGCAACCGAGACATCATCTACCCGTTTATATTCACAGTGATATATATTACATCTTGATAACTATTGCATTCGCCGTAACTAATGGCTATCTCTGTAATTTAACATTCATTCTCGCACCCACGTAAGTATGTTTAACAATAAAACTTAATTGCAAGAGATTATTTTCTAATTGTATTGACTTTACAGAATCGTAGATAGTCAGGAAAAAGAAATTGCGTCTGCAATGATGGGTGCTTTCTTGGGTATAGGATTAGCATCTGGCGCTGCGCTCAGTTTATACATGGTAAAGGCTCTTTAATGTTCGATTCTTTTAACTGAAGAGAAATGTAAATAAGATACATCTCACTGCCCTTTGTACATTCGAAATCAAGTAAGATCTCGATATACTTATTTTATGATTGTGAGATTTTAAATATTAGTATAAATCAATTCTCAATCGTCATCTCAAACATTGCTACTAATTTACGAGAATTCTTTTTTCTATGAAGAATTTTCTTGGGACAGCTTTCTGTAGGAAGTTTTACTAACAATTTGAAATAGAGATCTGATCACATATAATTTTTATGACTAGTTTTAAATTATCTATTTAATACAATTACATGGTGCAATTTCATATTTGACTATTCAAGACATAATAATTGACGAGGTGTCAAATTATTAGAGATAGACAATGTTAACATTGTATGTATAAATTTCATCATTTCTACAGATCTATATATAGTTTATGTGATACATTAATTATATATATCTTAGGATGAAAATGAATATAATTCTGCAAATGTTACGTGTATATATGACATCAAAAAGAAACAAATAGGTATAATACAAAATATTTGAGACTCTATTATTGTATATTATATTGAAAAGATTGTTTACATTTAAACACAGTATCGGCAATTTAAAAAGAAGTAGTTAATGCAATAGTAATTGATGCGATAAATGAAAAAGAGATATTAATAAGTATTAGATATAATAATAGTCTTGTTATCTATAAATATGATCAATTTTATGTTAATAAATAAAATGCTTAATGATATTCACACAGTTCTTTGTCTGTCCATGAAATAAAACCTTAAAAATCTATACAATAAAATTATTACGATAAATAATAAGTTATGACTTAGAGATATTGTTATTATTTTTTGTCAACCAAAGTTTTAAGCAATAGTAAGTGACAAATTCACTATTTAAATAGGCATTAGTTTAAATTTATTTTTCTTTTTTTCTCTTTTTGTGTTTTTATTTAGTTTATAAGCTGGAAAACATTATAAATTAAATACAAAATCAAATCCTTTTTAAATAGTAAAAATTGCAACACTATTTAGAGTGTATTTTCTTATAAAACAAAAGAAGCTATTACAATCGCAATCTTGAATATATTGAAACTGAAATATTGTAATATAATTATTCTGATGACTAGATTTTGATTAAGCTTTAATTAATTTAAATGATTCGTAACAATTATGCTGTGCAAAAATGTGTCATATAGTGCTTACAGATTGTGATACAATTTAAATAATTTTATATATAAATATTGTTTTATGCGAATAGAGCTGTTTCGCATGAGATTTCAAAATAATAAAGTAATAAACGTAATCACAAACATAAATAAAATAGCGCTCACTTATTGGAGCAGGCACGTGCCTCATGATCGACGATACTGTCGTTCCTTATCAGTGAGAGGAACAAACACCACGCTTATAAGGGATCGCTGCTTGATTTTGCCGTCCAGAGTCTTATCGATCTGCACTAAGGTTTGATCCGAATTTTCTGGACCCATAGGTACTATTAAACGTCCACCAGGTGCCAATTGATCTATCAACTATAAGATGGAAAATATTGTAGTGTTCGTTCTAACATATCTGACAATAATTCCAAAGACTTTTTTTTACCGATTGCGGCATTTCTTTGGCGGCCGCTCCCACGTGAATAGCATCGTATGGTCCGCGATTTGGATATCCCAATCTTCCATCACCAACTAAATAAGTGCAATCGTGAAAAATAAATCGAATAATTTCATCACATGGTTTGTGATATGTCAAATAGCATACGTTATATATTATTTAAAAGTAGATTTTTACTTACCAACTAATTCTACGCGTCCATCAGTCAAAAGTTCTGGATGGTCGTGCCGAATATTCTCTTCTGCCATTGCTCGAAGCTCTGGAATATGATCGATTCCAACGGCCACTCCCTGTGGTCCCATCATAAGAGCCATGCATGCTGTTAAGTATCCAGATCCAGAACCAACGTCCAGTGCCCTTGTACCATTACGCAGCTTTTCTTCAAGCAATTCCAGGGCATACGCGTGCTAAAGAATTTCCGTTTGTCTTCCAACTTGTAATTTCCTTTTCAGTGTTTTTTTTGTCAGTGTGCATTCATTTATTTATTACTATTGCAGAAAATACTTTACTCTTAAACACAACTCTCTTGCACAACTCTCTTGATCTTTTATCTCAATGGAAACCGAGTTAATTTGTAAACATTACATGATATTGACAATTTTACAAAGGACAGAATAGTACATAAAGGAAAGAATACATTGTATTATACCATATGAGGAGCGCTAATGGTAACGCCATAACCGATTCCTTGTGGTGCATCTATGTACGCATTGGCGGGATGAGTGTATTTTCCTCTGTCCATAGAACTCATTACTTCATATACTCTGTCAGATTTGATCACCCTGGACCCTAAAATAATTTCTCATGACATATATGTATAATTCTGCTGAATGACATAAATAAGAATGCAAAAAATATAATAAAATTGACACAATTGATTATATTTTTTTCATTAATTTCTTAAATAATTTTATATATAGAGACATATATATATGTATATAAACATGTGTGTATGTTTCAAATTAAATTTCTTCCAAAGTTCCTCTGTCCACAAAATAACTTATTACATCAAATACTGTCAAACTTGATCATTCTGAAATAATTTACCATATATGTATCATTTCTTCTGAATAACATAAATAAAAATGCAAAAAATATAATAAAATTATATTCTCTATTAATTTTTGAAATTATTTTGTACATATACACACACATACATACATATATAAATGTGTGTATTTTTTAAAACTAAATTACTCCAAAGTCAAACGCAAAGGCAATAAATGGTCATTTTTTATTTTGCGGCTCGAACTTGATTAGATTGCAAATATTGCATAAACTGCGTTGTAATTCCAAGTTTAATCTCGACGTCAACGAGATAGAAGCTAGGCATGTAAGGGGGGAAGAGGGGGACCTCGATGACACAACATTGCATAATCACGCGTGGACACTTACGCCGCAGATGTTGCACGAGCTCCTGATTGTTCCTGCCACAATATCGCCCGTACGAAGCCATATCGTGGGTGAACGCGGTGGGTGACAAAATCGCGAACGTCGCGCAAAGGCACTCGACGACGCGAGACCGAATCTTGGGGAGATACGTGGTGGCCGGTGCGTCGAAACGAAAACAAACGAACGGAGTCGCAGCTGCGCGCGCGGCGCGATCACCGACAACCTGTCAATTCCGGTAGTCGGGAATTCCACTCGGCAGTCGGCGAGTTCCGGACGACGTCTTCGAAGCGTGGTAAACGATGAACCTCTCGACCCGTCGAATATTATCGGAAAACTAATATTAGTCGTTGAATGACTTCTCTCACTCCTTTCAAATAACTGTTTTGATTTTATATCTCGCGCTCCGACTTTATGTTATTGTCCTGTCGAACGCCGGCGATGATCGGATCACAATTCGAACTAGATCAACCGGATTAATAAGATACGCGTGATTTTTTTTTTAACAATATTGTTCACCTGCGTTCGCCCGCTCGCGATATTTGTCTCAGCGTTGGAGTCGTTGAAGAGAACGTTCGCGCGCGAAACGTCACGCTGACACGTATTGCGTTTTTAAAAATAGACTAGTTGAGGGGAGGGGCGATCCGTTGCCGCGAGTTTACTCCGACCCGAACAGCGATCTCTGATTGGCGGACGCTTCCGCGATCGATTGCCCGCGAATTTCATTTGAAATTGAGAATTACGACAATATTACAATTAGTGTTCCTGTGCATCGATGAGATATTATTAAACATTAATGTCCATTTCCACTAATGTAGATTAACTTTAATCTCGATTCAACTTACTCTTCGTTTTTTTCTAATCTTTAAAACTCGAAAAAGACAAAGAAAGGTTAAAGTTAATCTGCGTTGATGGAAACATAAATATTGACATTCTTATGCCCATTTCTACCAACGTAGATTAACTTTAATCTCAGTTCAACTTAATCTTTAGAATTAGAAAAAAACAAAGAGTAAGTTGAACCGAAACTTCAGTGGAAATGGGCATTACGGGAGTTCGTGTCCCTGTTAAAATTAAGGTTACATTTCAAAATGTCCTCTCCGAGGAAGATTTTATTCCATATGCTATAGTGTATGTCACGTGTACTATATATTTTGAGTAAAATTTTCCTCGAAGAGGATGTTATCCTAAAGATGTTTTTTCATGCTGACGTTCGACGCTCATTTTTAGCATCAAACAAGTCACATGATAAAAATTGACGAATATCAAGCGTCAATTTTGATTACGTGACCTGTTAAGGCGTTAAAAATAGTCATCGAGCGTCAGCATGAGAAGGCACCTTTAATACCGGAAGTTCCCCACTTTCAGACACACTTCGATTTCTTTCGATGATAGTTGGCGTTGTTGGCGGTTGTTCTTTTCCGTTCGTTCTTTTCATCGTTGGCAGTTGCTCGGGTAAGATGTTTCTTCTTAATTTTCTATAACCTTATCACAATGCATTTATTTTCTTTTATTTATTAAATTTTTAAATTTTTATATGCTTGGCCGCTTATTATTCCTTGTGCGGAAATATTCATAAATATTCTCTTCAAATTCGTGTTCTATGAATCTTGTTTCTAACCTTTTTCTTTTGGGATTCGCGGTCGTCATGTAATTTAATTTAACACGCGGTTAGAACGAATCTGCTTTAAAAATAACGAATATATTGCAATCTCGAATGAAAACGATTATTTATCTTTCGAAATTATTATTTTTAAAAGTTTTTTATTAATTTTGTGTAATTATACGAGATATTTTGCTGCGATGATAGAAAAATAACATATCTCATAATAGTAACTTTTTGTAGAGCATTTTTTAAATTCTAGATTAGAATATTTTAATTAAGACAATGAATACGTATCTTCACTTTCTTTCCATGTTATATTTTCAATTATATATTATATATTCTCTAAAATTACGCCATAAATTTTCAAAATTCAAACACTGCAATTTTATATCGCAATTCTGTAATGCTAATTTTTTT